CGTCTCTCTCTCTCTCTCTCTCTCTCTCTCTCTCTCTCTCAAAAAAAAAAGTGTGGTGCTTGGACCTGATCTAAATTCACATTGGGTCTCTGATAGAAGTTTCTCTGATACTGTTTCAACAAGCCAATGCAGCAAAGTACAAGCAAGGCTCTTACCACCCTGTTGACAGAAGAATAGTGCATGCTCTCTTTACAGAGCATGGTGTACACGCTGATGAGTTCTTTGGCTGCTGAGTCTGATGCATCAGTTACAGTCCCATCCATAGGTAGGGCACACCCATGCACTGCAATGCTCTGAGTCCACGCAGCAGATTCTTTCCTCCTCTGATGCTGGTCATGACAAAGCATGATCCAGTCCGCCTCACAATGCCTTGCTCCATCTACAAGCTGACTCCACCAACCAGAGCTGTGTTCTGCACTCCTTTCCCAATCATCCACAGAGGTTCCAAAGGATACTAAATCATCTTTGCAAGCATCCTGAAATCTGCGCAGCAGTATGCCTCTCTTTTTAGACTCTTTGCTAACTTCAGAGTATAGCACAATCTTCAGGATCCTGTAATCTGGTATTTGCTTGACGTGTCCAAATCACCTGAGTCTTTTCTTACTGCATCAACATTCCTATGAATGACGTACCAGCACGATTTAACACTTCCACATTTATCATCCTGTCTTGCTATCTTATTAGAAGAATTTTTCATAAGCATCTGATATGAAAACCGTTTAGTCTTTTGGTATGTTTGGCATAAGTCATCCATGTTTCTGAGCTACGTAGAAGAGTGCATAAGACGCATGTCTCATAAATATGGATTTTTACTTTAGTTGACAATTTGTTACTGTTCCAGGTTCTGTCTTGGAAAAGACCAAAGTTCCTGGCTACTTTGCCGATTCTACTAGTGTGCTCAACGTCAAGATCTACTTTGCTGGTAACAGTAAAGCCAAGGAGGAGCCTTGATAGCAGGGAAGCCCTGATAGTAGAGCCCTGATAGCAGGGTAGATAACCTGATAGTTTCCACAATCAGATTTATTGCCTTTATTTTTGTATAGTATAATTATGATTGCATCTTTTGAAATCCCGAGGAATTTTCTCAGTTTCCCAAATATCCTTAATAATTTCATATAGATAGTTGACAGTTTGGAGACCTTCAAGTTTAATTATTTCAACTGCTGTTCTGTCTTTCCCTAGTGATTTACCTGTTTTCATTTGTTCACAGCTTTTTTGCACTTCTTCAGCGGGAGGAAGCTTCACAATTTCTTCATGTATGGGGTGCTGTGTTAGTTCCTCTGGCAACTATGAGTTGACAGTAGAAGGAAGGTTGAGTAACTCAGTAAAGTGGCACACATCTTTTGGAGTTGTCTGTCTTGTCCTTGATTAAGGTAGATCCATCTGAACTCTTTAGTGGAGCTGGACCTTATTTCAATGGGCCATAAATGGCCTTCAGCGAGTTAAAACAACTTTCTGTTGTTACTATTGGCATATTGCTGTATTTCTTTGGCTTTCTTTTCCCACTAGTTATCCTGTAGAACACAATGCCATTTTTGAGCCTTGGCTTGCAGGTACTTGAATTTATCTTTGTTTTGTGTTGATTCTTTATCGTTTTGCCAAGCCATAAATGCATCATTTTTTCCCTTTAGGATCTTTTAGATTTCATCATAATTTTCATCAAAACAATCCTGGTGCCATATTTGATTTTTGCCTAGAGTTTCTTCTGTTGCTTGGAGGGTGGCTGATTTCAGTATATACCACTTTTTGAGAGTGTTTTTTGGGTGATGTAATGCTATCATTTTTTTTCCTCTGTTTTCCCTCAGTTTTTCTTGATGAAATGGACATCTCAAATTTGCTATGTTCAATTTTAGTTTGATCTGTTCGGCACTGACATTGAGTGGAATACCACATGTAAAATGAAAATGGCTCTGGTCATCCTGTGATCAGTCCAACAGTTTGCTAATCTTGATGTCCCTAATGTCTCTTTGCTGTATAATGACATAGTCAATCAGGTGCTAGTGCTTTGATCTCAGATGCATCCATGAAGTTTTATATTTGTCGGCTTGCCTAAAGATTGTGTTGATAATAATGAGCTCATGTTCAGCACACTTCTGGAGTAGGAGGAGACAGTTGCTGATACCATAATTCTTTATTAGACCAGTTGAAGTCCGCACTGTCTTTTCCAGCTCTGGAAGTAAAGTCTCCCTAAGGTACGAGTTTGTTTTCACAGCGTGTAGATATGATTGTCATCCAAATCAAAATAGAACTGTTCTTTTAGTTCTTCCGTACTCTTCATGGTTGGAACATAAGCACTGATAAGAATCACAAAGCATGAATTTCTAAGGGAATTCATAGTCATTAGGTGTTCATTTTTGCCCCTAGGGAAGGGAAAATTTCAGGAAACTGTTTTTAATGGCAAAACTAATGCCATAAATTCTGTTTTCCTCTGTTGTTTTCCCTTTCCAAAAGAAGGTATAATCACCTCCTAATTCCTTTTTGTAACCTTCATCTGCAAATCTGGTTTTGCTGAAGGTAGCTACATTGATGCGGTATCTAGCAAGTTACCTTACAATCAGCACTGTACATCTTTCAGGTCTTGATGTATTATCTCTGTCCGTTAGTTTCTGTATGTTTCATGTCACTATAGTGAGAGCTCTTATTTTTCTTATAGAACAACCTCTTTTTGGATGATCTACCAGTTGTGGTGAACTGGCCAGATTAGAGTAAACTTTAAATAAACTGACCCACAAAAGTATTGTTCCTGATGTTCACTAAACCCCGATAGACAATTTACTGTACTACTTGAGGGGAGATATTTAAATTATGGAACATATCTAACTTTATTCTACAGTTTGGCCTCCACTTGCTATAGGGATGTAGCTTCAATTTGACTTCTACCGAACCGAGAGGTGAGATGTGAAGAGGAAGTTCCTAAAGTCACGATTGTGGCCCTTCATTGTTGACACAGTTTCACTGGGAGTTCTGTCCTTTTGCTCCTAAACAGCTCTAATTAATCTCATCCCTAGAGAGAGCCAAAGCCAGACTGGCTTTTACTTTGAAACATACACTTAAAAGGGATTTAGCATTCTCATATGGAATTTGCCTCTCTACTTCCTTCCTGCAAAATTCAGGCTGTATAGATGTAGTTTGCATTGCCCCTTATACTGTTGGGTTTTATGTTTCCTTTCTGTAGGCGAAATGAGGAATGATTTATACATCACTATAGAAAGAGGAGAATTTGAAAAAGGAGGAAAAAGTGTGGCCAGAAACGTGGAAGTGATGATGCACATTGTGGACAGTGGTGGCCAAATTTTAAAGGTACTACTTTGACACTAACTGTGAAGAACAATAATAGAGAGAGTGAAGGCTTGTGTTTAGTGTTGATGCTGAGCAATTATTGTAAATTTAAACTAACAATGTTTTTTTTTTCAAAATCCTTTTTTATTTCCTGACAGATATGATTTGTCATATTAACCTTTACCTGAATGTCCTATTAACAGACCATATTGCTAAACTGCATATTAGCAAAAGATATGTAATAACTGGCCTTAGAGCAAATATTTTCACTTGTACTGTGAGATATAAATTAAATTCGGAATTCTCTCTCCTTAGAATAAGCTACTTGCTACCCCAACTGCTGTAGTTTAGTCAATCAGTGATAGCTAATATGTTTTTGCAAACTACTTACACTGTCTTCCATTTTTGTGTATATTGTTGTTGTTTGTTTGGTCATAGGTTTTCTGGATATTTTTGTGGTAGCTAACTTTTAATGTTTCAATACTTTAATATTGAGGAAGGTTTTTAAAAATAAAAATGAAAACCTCTAATAAATATGTTCACATTCAAATTTATCCCTCAGTAATTTGATGTTAAGAGAAAAGGCAACAAAGATTAGCAAATGAAGTTATTTTAATTAATTCATAATTATTACAATGTGGAAATTAACCTATTAATTTAAGAGAATAATTAATGCACTTAATTATATTGAAAATAGACTTGCCTATTTAAATAAATGGGCCATTCCCACTTATTTCTACACTCTTTAAGGCACAATTGATTTTACACTCCAAATTGCAAATACAGGAAAGTATCCCTCCTCAGGAAAGTATTTAAGTGGATATTTAAAGTGCATGCGTAAGTCCCATTTCAGTCCATAGGCCTTCTGCACATGCTTATAATGAAGCATGTGTTTAAATACTTTCCTGAATTTGTAGCATAGGCACAGATCTAGCAGAGCACCATGTACTTATATTTTAAGCATATGAATATTTCAGTTAAGTGGAAATGCTTATATGCTTAAAGTTGAGCATTTGCCTAAGTTCTTTACTCGAATGGAACCTTAAGTACCACCTGTCTAAAACATACATACTTACACAAGTGTCCTTGACTTCCCAATATTTTCACTTACAATTCCAGGTACATTTCTTTGAAAATTACTTTTTTTTGTGATGAATACAAAATGCAGTCTGATAGTGTCTTTATTGCTCCGAGGAGGTCTTGGATTAAGACACAAGACGGAGATGGCAATGCCTCAGCCTGTAGCTTTTATTGAGCACTTCCACTATCAATCAAGACTCCCAATCGTTATCCGTCCTGTTTTGTCCTGTTCCGTTTAAATCGTAGCCTGTCAGTTCTACATGTGTTGAGTCACTTTAATGTTTGACCAAACAGACCAAAGTCCTGAGTGGAGAACGGGAGGCCACACATGGAATGTGCTAAATCTCTGTACAGTATTAAATCTGGCTCCCATTTACACACTCATACCACATCAGTGCATATCCTCCCATCCACTTCCACCTATAGTCAGGTTTATTGTGAGGTTTGACCCTGCTAATGCACCAAATCAGAATGGACTCTTGCCAGTTGTAAAGTTGGGACAAAACGAATAAAGCTAAACCTCACCCTCATGTAATAATACTAGGTGAAGCTCAGACATTTGCAGAGCCCACAGCTATGGTACCTGCTAGCTGCTCTAGAGGAAATCCAAAATCACCATCATCTTGTCACACAAGAATGGGGCAAATATTCCTTCCCGTCTCCAGATTTGAAGGCCAGCTCTTGCCCTTAGCATGCTAGCAAGCACCACTTATGTCCTATATGTAATGATAGATAACCCGAAACTTCAAAGTGAAGAAACTTCCAAAACAAATGGCCCATATTATGTATAAAACAGTCATAGGGTCATGGGTGCAAAGGACGAAGAGTGTGTTCCAGCTTACTGATGGTAATTTATATTACCTTTAGGAAGTGGGCAGACAGCCCAGAGACTGAAACAATACAAATCAGCCTGCCCACCTGCTACCCTACAGAGAGGAATCCATAGACCACAAGGCAATCTAAATTGTGCGCTTAACCACCTTCAGAGAATACACAATTGCATTCCCCACGCATGCAGGGGCACACTATTACAAGAGAGAACAAGTTTATTTTAGATTATCCCAAAGATCTTGGAGCCTGGAGAACACCAATTTCAGGGCTGATCTCACATCACTTTATAGTTAATCCATCTTTAAACCTTTAACCCAGTTGTTTTCTTCATTAGGATTTTATCTCCTTTGGCTCTGGAGAGCCGCCAGCTAGCAAGTTCCATTCCTTTGTGCTTTATCACAACAACAGTCCCAGATGGGCTGAGCTGCTGAAACTTCCTATTCCTGTGGATAAATTCAGGGGAGCACACATCCGCTTTGAATTTCGGCATTGTTCTAGTAAGCGTTGTTCATGATTTATTGCCATGCTTTGTGTTACAGTTGCATTAAGTGTATTGAATTTCATAACATCTAAACAGCAGGTAAATATTCTTTACCTATAAAGTTTCATGAGGGAGCTTTTCAGGTTTTGCCTTCTGCTTTGGTGAAATAGGGAAAAAAATGTAATACCTTGAGAAACTGACCAAATTTTATTAAATAGGAAAATGCAACATGAAGGGTGCAAATTTGAACACAAATTCAGGAAATGCAAAATCCAATCCCAGAATTAACTTGGCTAATTGCACAGTGATATCTGTTCACTTACAAATGTAGGAGTCTAACCCAGTAACAGAAAGTATTGCATATCTGTGTAGTGTAGCCAGGATAATGTTGTTATTGGAAGTGGACATTTTCTGACTTTCTGGTTTTGATGTAACATTAGTAATAAAAAATAAAAAAAAAAAAAAACAACTCACCAGGGCTAAAACGCAAGGCATACACACAGTTGCAAATACTTTGAGCTGCAAAGCTCAGGTGTGGATCTCAACTTCCCTTGAACTTTAGGATATTGGAACTTTAGGAACTTTTTGAATTGGGCCCATCTGCAGTAAATACATTGCATCAAAGAAATTACAAGTTCATCACATGTCCTCAAAGGAAACCACAAATGGATATTGCAAGGAAATCCTCTTTGCGGTATCTAAGGGCTTGTCTACACTGGCAATTTACAGCGCTGCAACTTTCTCGCTCAGGGGTGTGAAAAAACACCCCTCTGAGCGCAGCAAGTTTCAGCGCTGTAAAGCACCAGTTTAGATAGTGCACCAGTGCTGAGAGCTGCGCCCCTCATTGAGGTGGATTTTTTAGAGCACTGGGAGAGCTCTCTCCCAGCGCTGCACCGCGACCACACACGGCACGTTAAAGCGCTCCCATGGCAGCGCTTTAGCATTGCCAGTGTAGATTAGCCCTTAGTAACTTTTGGGAATTTGGCATCAATTCACAGAAAAACAACGCACTCATAACCTTAGGAAGGGGATTTACTTCATAAACAAACATGAAAAGAGACCTAAGGTGTGCTGGTGCTAACTAGATGTAAATGGATGCCAAATATACACATTCACACGTTGGATTATTTTCAGTTGCTTTGTCTAAGGGCTTTTCTTCCCAGCAACGGTTAGCATAAATGCACTCAAATTACTCCACTGGAACTAGCCTAGCTCAAGTGAGAACAACCATACTGGGAAACAACACAGAAGCTACACAGAGTGATTGGATTAGCAGTTGATGAGTTGTCCTAACTGGAGCTGCTGCATCCCTATAGCACTATTAGCAGAGTGTCAGCAGCACTCAATCCTCAACACCCCGTCCCCCTTAATCTTGACTGGCCAGCTAGCTGGAGTTTAAAGAACCACTTAACTCAAGCTAGAGATTTTTGTGTGTGGACAGGAGTTGGGGTGGGGCAAAACTCAGGTTATACCTCAAGCTAACAGTGCAATAAAGAAAAACGCTACGACGTACAGTATAAACCTAAGTCCAGAATGTGTGTGTTTTTATTTATATATGTTTTCAGCAAAAGAAAAGGGCGAGAAGAAGTTGTTTGGCTTTTCTTTCGTGCCCCTGATGCAGGAAAATGGGAGGACGTTGCCAGATGGCACTCATGAACTCATTGTGCACAAGGTAATTTCAGTCAGAAATCATTCTGTGATGATTCCTCTGAAAAGTACACCAAATGCCCAGAGGCGTTAAACAAGGGAAGACTGAACTGTTAGCAAATGAGTGATAGTCTTATTGTTAAAATGTCCTCTCAACATTCTGTAGAGCTTATGTTCTCTGTTTATAATTGCAGTTCAACCTAGTTATGTATTTCAATGCAGCACGTACTGTAAAGTCACAGTACCTCAGAATGTAGATTTAAATAAACCCTCAGTTGCATAAAGAATTCCATAAAGCTAGGGTTGCCATATTTAAACAGTGAAAAAAGAGGACACTCCACAGGGCCCCCGGCCCCGCCCCAACTCTGCCCCTTCCCAGCCCCCAGCCCAACTCCACCCCTTCCCCGCCCCTGGCCCTGCCCCAACTCCGCCCCCTTCCCTGAGCACCCCGCATTCCCCCTCCTCCCTCCCGCCCCCCGGGCTCCGGCTGCTGCTGCGCTGGGGAAGTTGCTTCGGCCCCCCGCCGTGGTGGAGAGCGTCGGGAGCCGGGAAAGTTGGATCCCGGGAAGGAGGCGGCTGCGCGCTCGGATGCCACCGCCGCCTCCGTGCCCCGGCAGATCGGGGGAGGAGTTAGTTTTGGCTTTGCTGCAGCCACTTGCACTCGTGGTCCCCTTACCAGGCCTCCCTATTTTCCCGGACATGTTTGGCTTTTTGGAAATTCCTCCTGGACGGGGATTTGAGGACCAAAAAGCCGGACATGTCCGGGAAAATCCGGACATATGGTAACCCTAATAAAGCTAAAAATTTTCACAATGTAAAAATGATAGCCACTCTTGGAATATATTTGACCAGGTTGACCCTTCCCAGGGCCAGCTATTCTGCAGCAGATCTGCTATGTGAGGTCTGTTAAAAAAAATTTCATTCAAATGTGCATGCAAGAAGCTCTATCTGTGTTGAGATGGAATTTGATATACACCTAATAAATAAAACAACTTGCAATGTGTAGGTGTTGGTCTAGTCAAAAAACTGTGCAGAATGATTAGGGTTTTACACCAGATGTTTGGGTACTATCTAAACCCACAGATCGAATGAGGATTTTCCCATCTATAACAAGAGCTACCCATGAAAGCTCTTGTATAGGCAAACATTCTTGTTATGCTGAGATGCAAGCTTAAAATTATTTCTAACTTTGCTATTTGAAAACGCTAGTCATTTTAAATTATGCAACAGGCAGACTCATCTTGTCAATAGTTGAATCTGCTCTGGAGCCAGTCAGTGGCTGAGAAGGCCAGAGACAGACTCTGCTGGAGAGAAGACAAAGAATTAATAAGACTTGTAAAAACTTTTTGTTGTGTTAGACTCTAATACCGATAACATACTAGATGTTTAAGTATATTTTTGAAATAGGGTGGTTTAAAACATCAGGTGCTCGGTTTTTCTGCTGTTTCTCTGTGCGTTTATAATGCAAATCTAATCTTTGGACATTTGTGCTGTTCTTATAAATGTTTAAACATTTTCAAGAGACATGTCTGCTTGCTTCATAATTTATTCAATGATTTGTACGTGCATTATTTTAAGTTGTGTGTTTTGAGAGGTGCTTGATTAAAGATTGTAGGCTATTTATGTAAAATAAAGCAGTCAGCAACAAAGACAATGCAATGTTTTACATGTAAAGTTTTTGAAACAAAAAACATACTGTTTCTAACAGATTTGGCTTGTTGCAATGCAATTTGGGTGAGAGCCCCCACTGATGAAAATTGTCATAGCTCCATTGAGTTCAACAGAGCTACCACAGTTTGAACAAGATGAATCCTTGGTTTTTATTCATTGCAATGATTTTAACTTGGTTGTTTTCACAGTGTGAAGAAAACACAAACCTTCAGGATTCTAGTCGCTACCTCAAACTCCCCTTTTCAAAGGGAATTCTCCTAGGGAATAACCACCAAGCAATAAAAACCACTAAAGAGTCTTTCTGGATTACGTCTTTTCTCTGCTCCACTAAACTCACGCAAAATGGTAGTATGATATATTGATTATTTAAACATGATGAACTCAAGTGAATTTGATGGGTGGTTTTTTCAACTCCAAACGGGCACTAAAGCACTCGTGTTGTGACATAAAAGATAGCTGATGCTCTGTTTTGAGGTTTTAAAAAACAGTATTTTTCCTTAATTTTGATGACCAGATGGAAACAAATGGTACATGGTGAACCACTGACTTTATGCAGTTCAAGGATGCTTTTAAATTAACATAATATTGGAATCACATACGTTATTTTTAGAATAAGTCATCAGAACCCAGCTGCTTTGAAAAATCTCTTAATCTGTTTGTTTGATAGTTATTTTAAAAATGTTTATTATAGGCTTCAGAGTAAAGCAGTTTTCATTTAATTAGATGGTTATTGCTTTTCTGATATGACATTGCTTTCTCCCCTTTTAAGTCAATGATCATTTAGCAAGTTATGATTAATGAAAATAACCTTATATTCCTGATAGTGTTGTGAATATATAATCTATGATGAAGCATACAGGCAGATTTATGTTTTGAGTTTTTCCAGTATACCACGTAAGATTTTTGGCTTGGTTCCCGTATGCCTAATAGTACGATTCATAACAGCAAGGAAGTGTGGCAGGGCACCTCCTTCGTCTCGCCACACTTAGCGCTTCCCCCCTCTGGCAATGGTGGGCCAGGGATAATCAGCCCCATTCAGGCAGGGGTTGCCTTCCCCCTTCGGTGCTCCCTGGGTCATATTTTCAGGGTAGGCCTGAGGGTTGTCCTAAGGGGTGATCCTCCACCAAACAAAAAGGAAACAGTCTCATAAACAAACAAAAAAAACCCCAGGATTGGTACCTTTCGCTGCCTCCTCACTGGTGCAGGGTGTCGTCCTGTTGGTTGCTCTGGGGTGTCAGTCCTTCCCCTCGCAGGCACTCAGGTTTGGCTCTTTCCCCTATGGGAAGGAGCACAGCCTCTCACCCTGGAGAGGCTTATTTCCCTACTGCCACTAGTCTGGCAGCAGCTTCTCTCTCTCTCTTCCTCCTTTCTCTCACCAGAGGAGGGGTTTTTAAAGGCCTCAGGCAGCCCTTACTTGGAATCAGGTGTCCCTCATTGATCTGAGGCAACTCCTCAGTTAGTAGGGAAGAGGACCTTTAACATTCTGGGGCTAATGTATCTGCCTTCTAGCACACTCTTACAGCCATCCAGCCTGACTTTGTCACAGAAACTACTCACAAACAACCAGATCTTTTTTTCTCATAAATATTCTTTATGTACACTTAGGACAGTTCTTTGATATCCTCTTTTGTTTTTGTTTTTTGTTTTGTTTTTGTTTTTTGGTGTTTTGGTTTCATTGTTGTTAGTTTTTGTTTTGAGTGCTCTGAAACCATTTATTACTGCCAGTTTAGGAGAGGTGCTGTGGTTTCCCCATGGTGCCAGTTCTGCCAGTTGTTGTTCAGCAGGAACACCAGGAATTCAATGACCAGTTGAATGTTGTAGACTAGCTAGTCCTCAGTCGTTTTCATATGTTGGATAGCCACAGCCAGACAGAGGACCTTTCTCATTTGAAATTTGATAGTAGACACAACTTCATTGACCTTGGCCACCATGTTCTCAATGTGAATGAGGAGAGAGTCCAGTTTTGTTCAGACCTGGATCATCTGTTAGATCAGTGACTCTGAAGCCAGGAAGGCATTGTATTTTTTTAGCCAGCTTTTTCACTAGCTGCTTTTTCTTACTGAGTTTCTTCAGAGCCTCTGTGTTTGTGTGAGGGATGTTGACTGCTTTGGCCTCATCACAATGTTGCTGGTCTCCCAGCACGCAGACTGATAATTTAGGACATGGAGTGGATTTAGGTCTGACTTTGCCAGAGAAACACTTATTCTTCTGTGGGTCACAGTTTTTTAGATTGATCTGCAAATCTACAGTTTCCAAGAACTTATGTGGTTCACTTGAGTCCCTTTACAGGACCTCCCTCAATGCTTTGTGGAGGGAGTTGTTGTAAAGCTTCTCTCTCCGAAGTATCTTCTTTGGGGAGGTTCGTGTTGGTGAGTTTCCAGCCCCTCATTCTGAATAAACAAAAAAATGGCAGAACATTGCATGCTTAGGAAATGAATGCAAAGGACCTGGATGTTTGGTCATGTGAGCATTCACTCTGTTGGGATTCTGCATGTTTATTAAAAATAGTTAACAAAATTTAAATTATACATAGATTTACTTTTATCCAGCAAACAACTGTATCAAATTAACTAGTACACATTTTACTAAGTAGGTCTGTTTGTTTGTTCATTTTTCAAAATTATGAGAGACCCAGATGTGCCTAGACACAAAGGGTATTTACCCTGTCTGTAAATAGGAAGTGAGGACATTTTAGCCAGTTGGCCTGCATTCAGTACTGATGCTTACTACCAATTGAAATGAGCACAAAGAAGCAGCTGTTCCACAGTGAAAGGACATGCGATATTAGCGTGTGTATTTCAAGTGATGGACCTGTACTTAAAATTAATCTATCCACATTCCAACAAACACCATTCAATATCTGATGATAATTAATAAGAAAACAGGAGTGACTGCACTTGGGGGATTCTGGAATTCCCAGAACTGAACTTTTCAGAATATTATACATACTAAATATGGGAATTTCATATTCCATTTTGGAGAATAATAGGCCACATGACTTTCCCTCACATGAAAACTTTAGGGTTCATGGGAGAAGGATAGAAATTTAATCCCAAATGCTTTTCTTATAAAGATGATCGTAACCCTTTATTTTTTAAACTCAAGAAGTTAAATCAAAACCATTGCCGTAGTGCCAAAGGGTTTATTTTTTTAAACTAACAAATCCGCTCATGTTTAAAGAGTAGGCCTGTGAAATGTGCGTTTTTCGCTCCTCTTGAGTGCAATTTTTTTCATCATCATTGACTTTTTCCCTATTCAAACCTCCATTTTCCTGAAGGGTTTTTTATATTCTCATCTCTCTGTTGAGAACTGTTTCATTTTCTGGTTTCTCTTGACATGTGAAAGTGATTGTCTCTTTACCCTGTCACTTGGGATTCTCAGACCTCATATTGTTCTTGTATTCAGTTCATTTCATTTATACTTGAACTATTCCCTAGTTGTATTTTTCCCCTTAAATGATTTATTTGAAGTGAACATCTTAGAGTTGCATTTTTTTATCCCCAACAAATCCTTCCTAATGAGAATCAACCCTCCACCATCTAGTTCCTTCAGAAAAAAGTGAAAGTAAACATTTTTCCTGCTATGTCTTTAGCCAGTCTCACTACTTGATGAGTCAAAGATGATCCAAGAATCAAGTTACATTGCTAGTTGCGCCATCCAAAAGTTGCATTTCATCAAAGATATGGTGCATACTTGCTTGAAGAAGGAAGGAGAGAGCTGCAATCTGGCATTGGTCCTTATACCCATGCAGAGTTCCATTGAATTCTACAAGGGGGCTTAAGGGTCTACCTGCATGGATCCCTGCTGCACCCTCTGACTTAAGTGGTTTCCATCATACACAGGGTTTACAGTTTGGTTCAATGGCTCTCAGCATCTCCCCTATACAAATTGTTCCAACACTTCTGTTGTTGGAATGTGGTCCTGAAGCGCGCCTTAATCAAGCATGATCTCTTTGACAAGTATTCAAAATTATTAATGGAGCAATTGCAAGTTGTGGGTGAACAAGCTGGCCAGACCATGTTACTGCAGCCCATAGGCAGTTCCCTTATGAGATGACGTAAGCTCAGTTTTCGTATATGGTTGCAATTGAATAATTTTAAAACCTGAAGTGCTGGCATTCTTTCAGCTGTAATCTTTAGTATGTTTTTTGCAGGGGATATGCTTGATCTTCTTAAGTGGAGAGCCCACCCGGACAAAATTGCAGGCTGCCTCACAAAACTAAAAGAAATTGATGGTTCAGAAATAGTAAAGGTATATATTGTTCTTTCCTTGTTTGTTTTGGAATTAATTAATGTAAGGAAAATAATTTCTTTACATCTTACAAAGAAGTACATTTGATAATAAATTCTTGTTATTCTTCCTCCACTTATAGTTCCTTCAGGACACACTGGATACTTTATTTGGCATTTTAGATGAAAATTCCCAAAAATATGGGTCAAAAGTATTTGATTCTTTGGTAAGTTGTACTTCATGGTTCTGCATAACCATGCTTACAATAAAGATACTTGATAATTTTTAAATAAGATTTTAACACTTCAAGAAATGAGAAAAGAGCATTAAATTTTTTCCTTTTCCTTTTTTCTTTAGGTTCACATAATAAATTTGCTGCAGGACAGCAAGTTTCATCATTTTAAGCCAGTAATGGACACTTACATTGAAAGTCATTTTGCAGGTGCACTTGCATACAGGTAAGGTCCTAACTTTTTGTAACTGTTTAGAATTTTGACAATTATAGGTACTAAGCAGAGCAGCCATAAACTTCAATTAATACATGTATTGAACTTAATTTCTTCTGATACTATATTTTAATTCCCAAAATGAAGTCCAATAATAGTTGAAATAATTTTAAATGATCAGAGAAATGACTTCCTTCAGTTCTAATATTGGATTAAGAACTAGACTTAGAATGGTCTTTTCTTAACTTGAGCATAATGGATGAAAACCAGATATTGATCCTGGATTTGAACATGAACTAAAAATAAATTAAATAAATTGCATTCCTCTTTATGTAACTTGCTACCACATTATGGCAAGCTAGAGCTTAAAACTAGACCCAGTTGAAATTTTTAAATTTGAAATTTCTAAAATCTTGGGAAAAATTTTGCAAAATATTCTGTCCGTCTCCCACCCTTCTGCTCCCCTCAACCTGCTCAACTTAAAACCCACTTCTTCCCCAAACTTTTCCAATTCTGATCTCACCAGTGGTGTCCTTTTATTCAGGCCCACCTGAAATGTGGCAATTGATGTCTGGGTTTTTTGGACTGTAAATTCTAATATTCCTATTATTCATCTCATGATGAACCGCAGCCACCTGGAGGATATTATATGGCTACATAACTGTTTAGGACAGGAACTGAAGATCATGGTGGTGATCCTGAAAAACTTACACACATGTTTAAGTTTATGCCCTGAAAAGTCCCATTGACTTCAATGGAACTTCCCACAGTACTTTTAAATTTAAATACATGCATAAGTCTTTGCAGGATCAGGGCTTTGTACTTTATCCAACTGAAGATTCTTAGGTATTCAGAATGCAAGTATCCACACTGGAATTTGGTCAGGACGCTATGGCTCTTAGCCCTACTATTGTGAAAAATACCATGAGATCTTTAATGACTGTAAATGGTTCGGAGGACATTTCTTATACATCTAAATCAAGAGAGACTGCTTCCAGCAAGCAGTACCCCTACCATCATGGTGTTCTACTGCCTCAGAGTATACAGTACTGAATACTGAATCATGAACCTCACTTATTTCCAGACTCTGCTTAGTCATTGTTGACTTACCATCTAAGGGCTTGTCTACACTTACTGGGGCATCGACATGCGGCGATCAATGCATCGGCAGTTGATTTAGTGGGTCTAGTGAAGCGTAGTGTGGACCCCACAGTAAGTAGATCTAAGTATGTGGACTTCAGCTACATTATTCACGTAGCTGAAGTTGCGTAACTTAGATCGATCTTCCCCGTAGTATAGACAAGGCCTAAGTACTGTTCAGGTTCAATGCTGCTTAGTTTTAGTGATCTAATGAGATCACAGTCCAAAATCACATGACTTCAGGGAGAAGCAGAGACTATTTTAAATGCAAATACATTTGTTCTTATGCATTAAATTAGTTTTTGCATCTTTATCAAAGCTATTTGTGTTTATACTTAATGAAAAATTTGAATGTAGTATTATCAGATGACTTTGTAGCATATCTACAATTGAGTGAAGGTTTGGCCCTGTTATTATGCACAATACACTGCCTTTACAAGTTGAGCAAACTGGTAATTGCTGGAAGAAGACACCTTGTGTTTCAAAAAATTTTTTGTGTTTATTTTATGAAAGCTATTTGTTCACATTTCAAATCCTAAATTATTATAGTCCATATTAAGAAATTTGTTAAATAACGCTTTCCACACTTCTGCACTGTAATCATTTTCCTTTTTATGTTCTAGAGATCTTATAAAAGTACTTAAGTGGCATGTTGATCGAGTAACAGACATGGAGATACAAGAGCATATCCATGAAGTGTTAAAGGTAATAGAAATCATCAGAGACAATAACACACCTGACCAGTGCATTTGTATAGCAGTACTAATTTAAATCAATTGATTTCACATGCATGGTATATATGAGTGGTAGAATTACAAAACCTGTTCAGTGCACTCACACACCTGTACAATCAGTCAGTTTATTCGCCCTTCTGGAAACTCTTAATTGTGAAAAGAGTTGATTCATGGTGTTCACTCCAGTAGAACTCAGGAACTGAGGACTCATTTGTTGATTGCAATATGGATAGTGGTTGGTTTCAAGAAACCTTATGTAGATTACACAAGTGGTAATTATGTCTGTGATAAAATAGAAGACTACAATTACCAGATAAAGCAATTTAATGAGACAGTCCTTGTGTCCCAGACAGTTCAGTTAAAACTGGAGTTTTGGTTTGGTTTCAGTCAGACCAAGTTACCATCAGTCACCCTCTCTGTTCCTCGTTCTCTGCCTCTCTGTCATCCATTTCCCTCCTCACTTGCAGCTGTTGGCATAAGATCTCGCTTCACCTCTTACTTGAAGTTGAACATTGTGTTATTTTATCAATCTACTTAGTATATACTCCAGCAATTTGCAACTTAAGGTCAGCTTGTTTTGTCATTGGTGATGCCTCATTCTCTGGTTACCATTAAGAGGAAAGCATTTTTATTTAAATGGGAAAACAAATAACTAGATTTCCTAGTCCTCAATGCTACCTTTTGATGAGCAAGTGCTCCCTGGTGTATAGATTTTATTAAAGGAAAAAGAGTAAAAAATGTTGAAAGGCCTTATTGAAAGATTGGCAGTAGATCGCTGCTAATAAGAAGATTACAAACTTTCCAGATTTAAATGGCATGTTCTCCATTCTGACAAATGCTATAAATATGTTTGAATTATATAAATTTGCTATGTTTTAAGTTTACTAATTTTAAAGAAAAATGAGTTCAATATGATTCAGGATCTTTGTGTTTTGACATTTGTAGGCACAAGAATATATCTTTAAATATATAGTTCAGTCTCGGAGGCTGTTCTCGCTTGCCACTGGTGGACAAAATGAGGAGGAATTCCGCTGCTGTATTCAAGAGTTGCTTATGTCAATACGATTTTTCCTTTCCCAAGAGAGCAAAGGGGCTAGTGCTTTATCTCAATCACAAGTAAGTATCATGAGTTTGCTCGGTTTGATTATTATCATTACCAGTATTCAATGGGAAAATGTGTGTGCGTGTGCGTTTGTTACATTGAATGTCAAATTCATGTTGTCTGTAGTAAATTGATAGTTCCAGTTAATGCTTGCACCAGTTGTGGCTTATAATGGAAATTTTCCATACCTCCAACTTCTGAATAGCAGAACTAAGGTTACCTTAGCCAGACTGTTTGTTTTGAACTGGAAAGGGATTGTATTCTGTTAATACTTGTTCCAGTGGTTAGAAGAAATCATAACTGCAAAACAGAAATCGAATGGCGTCTCCACATGTTTTTGGGTATTCAGTGTTGCATCATTGCCCAGCTTGTTTAAGCACCTTGAAACCTGATCTCTTGAACATCATAACTGCAAAACAGAAATCGAATGGCGTCTCCACATGTTTTTGGGTATTCAGTGTTGCATCATTGCCCAGCTTGTTTAAGCACCTTGAAACCTGATCTCTTGAACCCCCAAGAAGTTTTCTCACTTTTAAAGGTTTAATATAATAATCTTGCTAATGAGCACATTGTGCTGTAATCAGATTCTTAAATTACACTGGGCCTATTAAAATTGACCAGTGCAAAAGGCAGTGGTCAAAACACATTGAGAACAACTCTAAAAATCCAAAATTTTATACAATGAACAGAGCTCTCACTTTGGGAAAAAACATTGGACCCTAGGTATCTTCAGAAAATGTTTGAGTGCATCCCCAGCCCTCTCTGTCAGATTCTCCTGACCAAAGATCTGCTTTTCCATGATCGTTCTTCCCTTTGAGCTGCATGGAAAACTATATTTCAGGGAAAGACAAAATTAGTAGCTGAAGAGCAGAGGGATGATTGAGGCCAGGTCTACACTAACCCCCTAATTCGAACTAAGGGACGCAACTTCAGCTACGTGAATCACG